CATTGCAATGGAGATAGTTTAAGGGTCCCTCTCATAGGACTAGTGTTGCCATGGAGACACCCTAAGGGTCCCTCTCACAGGTCCACAGCGTTGCCATGGAGACACCCTAAGTCAGAGAGCCAGATTGTTGCCATGGAGACACCCTAAAAGTCACTCTCACAGGTCCAGAGCGTTGCCATGGAGACACCCTAAAAGTCATTCCCACAGGACCAGAGCGTTGCCATGGAGACACCCTAAGTCAGAGAGCCAGAGCGTTGCCATGGAGACACCCTAAAAGTCATTCCCACAGGTCCACAGCGTTGCCATGGAGACACCCTAAGTCAGAGAGCCAGAGCGTTGCCATGGAGACTCCTTAAGAGTCCCTCCAGAGCATGGCCATGGAGAAACCCTAAGGGAGGCCTTCTCAAAGACGGAAGCCAGTTGGAGAAGGCCGGCATGAGTCCTAAAGAGATGCCCTCTTGATCCAAGGTTGAAAAAGTTGGACATGATGGAGCCTCAAATCCATATACTCTTGTGCCCCAAATTAAAATGCCACACATGAGAGCTGAGGGGAGATTCTGCTTTTTATTGCAACCAGGCACAATCTGCATGTTACAGCCGGATGGGGGCCAGAATCCCCCCCCCCCCCGCTTTGATTCCTGAAGGAAAGGTCCTGAAGATTTCTTTTGACCAAAAGGCTTTGCTTTTTTATGACGATGTCGTCGTCGCTTTCTTGACAGATTCTTCCAAAGCAGCAAAGAACTGGTTCAAGCTCTCCCGCATTTGGTCAGCCAAAGGCTTCAGGCTTTCTTGGGCCTGCTGAGCAAGCGTCCTGCGATGGGAGGAAAGAGTAAGAATAACAACAACAACAACAGCAACAACAACAGCAACAACAAGCACCATCCCCACTGTTGACCTGCCACGTGTAAAGGTTCAATCGGCATTATATAAGTCTTTATTTATTTATTTATTTATTTACTGCATTTATATACCGTCCTTCTCAGCCCGCAGGCGACTCGGGACGGTTTCATAGAATCATAGAATCGTAGACTTGGAAGAGACCTCATGGGCCATCCAGTCCAACCCCATTCTGCCAAGAAGCAGGAATATTGCATTCAAAGCACCCCTGACAGATGGCCCAGCCTCTGCTTAAAAGCCTCCAAAGAAGGAGCTTACACCACACTCCGGGGAGAGAGTTCCACTGCTGAACAGCTCTCATAGTCAGGAAGTTCTTCTTCATGTTCAGGTGTAATCTCCTTTCCTGTAGTTTGAAGCCATTGTTCCACGTCCTAGTCTCCAGGGCAGCAGAAAACAAGCTTGCTCCCTCCTCCCTATGGCTTCCTCTCACATATTTATACATGGCTATCATATCTCCTCTCAGCCTTCTCTTCTTCAGGCTAAACATGCCCAGCTCCTTAAGCCGCTCCTCATAGGGCTTGTTCTCCAGACCCTTGATCATTTTAGTCGCTCTCCTCTGGACACATTCCAGCTTGTCAATATCTCTCTTGAATTGTGGTGCCCAGAACTGGACACAATATTCCAGATGTGGTCTAACCAAAACAGAATAGAGGGGTAGCATTACTTCCCTAGATCTAGACACTATGCTCCTATTGATGCAGGCCAAAATCCCATTGGCTTTTTTTGCCGCCACATCACATTGTTGGCTCATGTTTAACTTGCTGTCCACGAGGACTCCAAGATCTTTTTCACACGTACTGCTCTTGAGCCAGGCATCGTCCCCCATTCTGTCTCTTTGCATTTCGTTTTTTCTGCCTAAGTGGAGTATCTTGCATTTGTCACTGTTGAACTTCATTTTGTTAGTTTTGGCCCATCTCTCTAATCTGTCAAGATCGTTTTGAATTCTGCTCCTGTCCTCTGGAGTATTGGCTATCCCTCCCAATTTGGTGTCATCTGCAAACTTGATGATCATGCCTTCTAGCCCTTCATCTAAGTCATTAATAAAGATGTTGAACAGGTTTACAGTTGGTACCAAGACCATAAAATACAAATTCAATATAATAAAACAATCAAATAATAAAACCATAGCAGAATCAATAAAATCAATAAAAACATGTATCATGAGGATCTCCTTGTTAAAAACATCGTCCAATCACATCATCAAACCATTCCATTTTCCTATGTCTGTTACACTGTATTTGCAAATGCCTGCTCAAAAAGCCAAGTTTTAGCTGTCTTCTGAAATGTTAAAAGGGAGGGGGCCGATTTGATGTCCTTAGGGAGGGCGTTCCATAGCCGAGGGGCCACCACTGAGAAGGTCCTGTCTCTCATCCCCGCCAACTGTGCTTGTGACGAAGGTGGGACCGAGAACAGGGCCTCCCCAGATAATCTTAAAGTCCTGGTAGGCTGTTAGGAATTGTGGGAGGGCCCAGAGGGCCCAAATTGGCCCATGCATGGTCTACACCAGGTATGGACAAAACCAGGCCTGGGGTCTGGATGTGGCCCCTTGGGCTCTTTTCTCAGGCCCTCCTCTCATGGTTCTATCCTTCCTTCCTTCTGTCTTTTCTTCCTCCTTCCCTTACCTCCCTTTTCTCCCTTTCTCCTCTCTTCCTTCCTTCTCCTTCTTTTCTCCCTCCCTCCCTCTTTCTCCTTCCTTCCGTCCTTCCTTCCTTCCTTCCTTCCTTCCTTCCTTCCTTTCTTTTTTCTTCCTTCCTTCCTTCCTTCCTTTCCTTCTTCCTTCTTTCTCCCTCCTTCCTTCTTCTCTCCTCCTTCCTCCTTCCTTCCCTTTCCCCTTCCTTCCCTCTTTCTCCTTCCTCTCCTTCCTTCCTTCTTCCTTCCTTCCTTCCTTCCTTCCTTCCTTCCTTCCTTCCCTTGTGTCTTTCCTTCCTTCTCCTCCTCCTTCCCTTTTCTCTTCTTCCTTCTATCCTTTCTTCCCCTCTTCTTCTCTTCCTCCTTCCCATCCACCCTTCCTTCCCTCTTCCCTTCCTCCTTTCCTTTCTCCCTCTTTCTCCTTCCTTCCTTCCTTCTATCCTTCTATTTCTCCCTTCCTCCATCCTTTCTTCTTTCTTCCTTCCTTCCTTCCCCTTTTCCTCCTCCCTTCCTTCCTCCCTCTTCCCCTCTTTCCCTTCCCTCCTCCTCCTTCCTTCCTCCTTCCTTCCTTCCTTCCTTCCTTCCTTCCTCCCTCCCTCCCTCCCTTCCCTTTTCTTTCTTCCTCCTCTCCCTCCCTCCCTTCCTTCCCTCCTCCCTCTTTCCTTCCTCCTTCCCTTTCTCCTTTCTCCTTCCTCCCTCTTTCTCCCTCTTTCCCTCCCTCCCCTCTCCTTCATCCTTCCTCCTCCCTTTTTCCTTCCTCCTTCTTTCCTTCCTCCCTCCCTCCCTCCCTCCCCTCCCTCCCTCCCTCCCTCCCTCCATCACTGTGAAGCCAGTTCTCTCAGCAGGGAGTGCTTGCATGTGGCCTTCAAATTAGAACGTTTGCTCAGGCCTGAGCAAGAATGTCCAATGTCCAATCTCAATAAAATAGTGAAGAGTAGAGACATCAAACTGGCAACAAAGATCCGCATAGTTAAAGCAATGGTATTCCCCATAGTCACCTACGGATGTGAGAGCTGGACCATAAGGAAGGCTGAGCGAAGGAAGAGAGATGCTTTTAAACTGTGGTGCTGGAGGAAAGTTCTGAAAGTGCCTTGGACCACCAGAAATAAGTTTTGAGTGTGCCTTGGACCACCAGAAATAAGTTCTGAGAGTGCCTTGGACCACCAGAAATAAGTTCTGAGAGTGCCTTGGACCACCAGAAATAAGTTCTGAGAGTGCCTTGGACCACCAGAAATAAGTTCTGAGAGTGCCTTGGACCACCAGAAATAAGTTCTGAGAGTGCCTTGGACCACCAGAAATAAGTTCTGAGAGTGCCTTGGACCACCAGAAATAAGTTCTGAGAGTGCCTTGGACCACCAGAAATAAGTTCTGAGAGTGCCTTGGACCACCAGAAATAAGTTCTGAGAGTGCCTTGGACCATCAGAAATAAAGCCCGACTGCTCTTTGGAGGGAAGGATATTAGAGGCAAAGATGAAGTACTTTGGCCACATCATGAGAAGAAAGGAAAGCTCAGAGAAGAGAATTATGCTGGGGAAACTGGAAGGAAAAAAGGAAGAGGGGCCGTGTGCTGGTACAGCTGTACCAGGAGCTCCAGCTTTATTTGCTTTGTATTAAATGTTTGTTTGCAGTCCTAGGTTTCAGGGACTCTGCAGATAGGTGGCTTCCTTCGGTTGTAGTCATAGGGCAAGTCACCTGTCCATCATCATTAAGTTTGGTTCCACCCCTTGCTCAGGGCAATTGGGAAGGGAAGGGAGCCATTTTTAGTTAGTCTCATAAGGAAAGCTAATTTAGAGGACGTGTGCAAGCTTCCCCTGTACAAAAGCTTCAACCCTTAAGACTTTCCGGGGGGAAACAGTCTTAAGAGCATCCAAAGATTCCCAAAGATTTCCAGGGAAACAGCCCTAAAGACCAAAGAACTCCAGCTGGAGAACATCTAAGCCTTTACTGGTAGATCCACTTGGCGTTCGAGACGCAATTCGACACGGTAGCGGAGCCTGCATCAGTAAGGGTTAGATTACAGTCAGCCTGGGAGAAAAAAAAGGGGATTTTCCTTTAAAGTAAAGAAGAAGTTATTGAAGACAGTTGCCTGTCCTTCGTGGGCAAGATTAGGAAGCCACCAGTTGCATAAAGCTTGGAAGCATTTGTTTAGCTTTATTGAAGACAAGAGAAGTTTCTGTTTGATTGTTCATTAATAAAAGACTTTGTTATACTTCACAAGCCATCTAAAGATCATTTGTGGTGGAAAACCTCTGAGAACTTCTCCTTGGACCCTGCTGGGCAAAGGTTGCACGTCCTGATCTAAAGGAAATTCTTTACAGGCCCAGCACACGACAGAACAGGCTGACCAAGGGCAAAATGGATGGGTGGCATCCTTGAAGTGACTGGATTGGCCTTGAAGGAGCTGGGGGTGGTGACGGCCGACAGGGAGTTCTGGCGTGGGCTGGTCCATGAGGTCACGAAGAGTAAGAAACGACTGAACGAATGAACAGCAACGAACAAGAATGTCCCTTCCCTCCCCAAAAATGCACCTTAGGTAACTGAAAAAGAGCATGTGAAGTGACGAGAGGAAACGCGGCACACGCAGAACTCAACGTATGGGTGCTTTCCAATAGATCTGGGACAGCAATGGCTCTACCACTTCTTTGACATTATTCTTTCAGTTCCGTAGTTTGGGCAACAATCACTTACTGGACTTGGGTCCTGAGCTGCCCAATCTTCTCCTCGCCGAGCAGGTCTTGGGGAAATAACTGGGCTAAGGCCGGGAAATAACGTGACACTTCTTGAGCCTGAGAATCGCCTTCCGCTTGGCGTTTCACGAAAGCGCCTGCAAAGAGAAGACACCCACCAAAGGCTTAGCAAGTGTGGTTATGTGCCTGCAGTTCAAAGCAGCACCCTTGATCATACAATGTGGTTTCAAACTGCATTAAACGGGGCCTTGGTCTCCCAGAGTCCAAGTAGGTTCTCGTTTCTAGTATCCCTTTCACATATCTGTGTTTGGGTACAATACATATTACGCACCCATTTGTGAGTATGTGCCTGTAATATGCACACATAAGTTCACGTTTATGTGTACACACACACACATTTTCCCACTCTCTAGTTCAGTGGTTCTCAACCTTCCCTTAATACAGTTCCTCATGTTGTGGTGACACCCAACCATAACATGATTGTTGTTGCTACTTCATAACTATAATTCTGCTCCTATTATGAATCATAATGTAAATATCTGATATGCAGGATGTATTTTCATTCACTGGACCATATTTGGCACAAATACCCAATACGCCCAAATTTGAATACTGGTGGGGTTTGCGGGTTGATTTTGTCATTTAGGAGATGTAGTTGTTGGGGTTTATAGCTCACCTACAATCAAAGAGCATTCTGAACTCCAGTGTCCACATTTGGGCATATTGAGTGTTTGTGCCAAGTTTGGTCCAAATCCATCATTGTTTGAGTCCAAAGTGCTCTCTAGAATCTAGATCAGTGGTTCTCAACCTGGGGTCCCCAGATGTTTTTGGCCTACAATTCCCAGAAATCCTAACAGCTGGTAAACTGGCTGGGATTTCTGGGAGTTGTAGGCCAAAAACATCTGGGGACCCAAGGTTGAGAAGCACTGATCTAGATGGAGGTGAACCACAACTCCAAAACTCAAGGTCAATGCCCAACAAACCCTCCAGCATTTTCTGTTGGTCATGGGAGTTCTGGGTGCCAAGTTTGGTTCAATTCCATCATTGGTGGAGTCCAAAATGCTCTTTGATTGTAGGTGAACTATAAATCCCTGCAACTACAATTCCCAAATGACAAAATCCCAACCCCACCAGTATTCAAATTTAGGTATATTGAGTATTTGTGCCAAATTTGGTCCAGTAAATGAAAATGCATCAGATATTTACATTTATGCTGTCGCACACTGGGCCTGTGCATAAGACTGTAGACAGGACATAAATTCCATGTGCCCAACGGGACGGCGGGGGTGCCTCAGATTAAAGGCCTTTGGATTTCCTTAAAACAGAGTCTTTAGATTGCTTAAAGGTTCAACAAAGTTCTTTATTATTGATGAAAACAAACAGGTACTTTAAAGCTTTCTTAACAGTCTATTGCAGTGGTTCTCAACCTTCCTAATGCCGCGACCCCTTAGTATAGTTCCTCACGTTGTGGTGACCCCCAACCATAACATTTTCATTGCTACTTCGTAACTGTAATTTTGCTACTGTTATGAATCATAATGGAAATATCTGATATGCGGGATGTATTTTCAAATACCCAATATGCCCAAATTTGAATACTGGTGGGGTTTGGGGGGTATTGATTTTTGTCATTTGGGAGCTGTAGTTGCTGGGATTTATAGTTCACCTACAATCAAAGAGCATTCTGAACTCCACCAACAATGGAATTGAAACAAACTTGGCACACAGAACTCCCATGACCAAGAGAAAATACTGGAAGGGTTTGGTGGGCATTGACCTTGAGTTTGGGAGTTGTAGTTCACTTACATTCAGAGAGCAGTATATATTATTTAGTAACCAAACTTGACATAAATACTCAATATGCCCAAATGTGAACATGGTGGAGTTTGGGGAAAATAGACCTTGACATTTGGGAGTTGTAGTTGCTGGGATTTATAATTCACCTACAATGAAATAACATTCTGAGCCCCACCAATGATAGAATTGGACCAAACTTCCCACACAGAACCCATGATCAACAGAAAATACTATGTTTTCTGATGGTCTTCGGTGACCCCTCTGGCACCCCCTCGTGACCCCCACAGGGGTCCTGACCCCCAGGTTGAGAAACACTGGTCTATTGGCTCTCTCTCAATCTTGTCCACAGGGAACAGGCACTATCTTCATAACTGTAACTAATGGGGAAATCCTTAACTTCTAATCTGGGCAGTCTGTCTTTGCCTCTGTTGGCGTGGAGCCCCTGCACCCGGTACCAACTGCTTCTGGCTTCCGCGAGTGACCCTTACCAAGCAGAGCTTTGTAGACTTCCAGGGGAAAAAGGAGTTCAGGTTTCGGTGATGGCTGGCTGAAGTCCCTCAGCAAAGGAGCTGTAAGGCTGTATGATCCTCGGCCAAGCTGTGGGCTGTATAACCCCGGCCAAGCTGTAGACTGTATATCTCCCCGGCCAAGCCGTAGAAGACGAAGCTTTCTACAGGAGCTCTTGGTATTATATCGGCGCAGGTTCGCAGCTTGGGTGTGACCCTGGATTCATCATTGAGCCTGGATCCCCAGGTTTCAGCGGTGACCAGGGGAGCATTCGCACAGCTTAGGCTCGTGCGCCAGCTGCGCCCGTACCTTGGGAAGTCTGACTTGGCCATGGTGGTACACGCTCTGGTCACATCCCGCCTTGACTACTGCAACGCTCTCTACGTGGGGCTGCCCTTGAAGACGGCCCGGAAGCTTCAGCTAGTCCAGCGCGCGGCAGCCATGTTACTAACGGGAGCGGGACGCAGGGAGCATACAACGCCCTTGTTGTCCCAGCTCCACTGGCTGCCGATTTGCTACCGGGCCCAATTTAAGGTGCTGGTGCTATCCTACAAAGCCCTAAACGGTTCCGGCCCAAAATACCTTTCGGACCGCATCTTGGCCTATGAGCCCACGAGGACCTTGAGATCGTCCGGGGAGGCCCTTCTCTCGATCCCGCCTGCTTCACAGGCACGTCTGGCGGGGACGAGAGAAAGGGCCTTCTCGGTGGTGGCCCCCCGGCTGTGGAACGACCTCCCTGCTGACATCAGACAGGCGCCTTCCCTTCTGTCCTTCCGTAAGAGCCTGAAGACCTGGCTATTTGAGAAGGCATTCAACTGAGCGCTACGGCAACTGGTAATTGACAACTGGAACGGAATACGGATTATGATATTGGTTATGATTCTATGATGTGACGGAGCGGATTATTTAGTGTAACTAGATTATAGTGTATTATTGTTGTATTGATTCCCTGTTTTGCCCTTTTTGTAAACTGTTTTTATATGTTGTGCACCGCCGCGAGTCGCCCTAGGGCTGAGAGCGGCGGTCAATAAATGCAGTAAATAAATAAATAATAAATAGTATTATGTCCTGCATGGAAAGCTTCTCTGTGTGGACTGAACTCAAAATGGCTCCTATTCCCTCCAAAACCCCCAAAAGGGGGGTGGGACCAGGGAACCTAACTATAATTGACAGGTGGCTTGCCCTATGATTGCAGCCAAAAGAAGCCACCTATCTACAGAGTCCCTGAAACTTAGGACTACAACAAACATTCAATGCAAAGCAAACAAAATTGGAGCTCCTGGTACAGCTGTATCTGCACATTACAATTGATATCAGTAGCAAAATGACAGTTATGAAGTAGCAATGAAAATGATTTTATGGTTGGGGGTCACCACAACATGAGGAACTCAATTAAGGGGTCGTGGCAATACGAAGGTTGAGAACCACTGCTCTAGGCTCATATAATGCAATTCAATGCAGCTATTCTGCATTATATGAGTCCATGCTGACCAAATTCAAACTGCATTATTTGGCAGTATCGATTCAGCCTAGGATATATGTTTAAAATAGATGGAGAATGGCCAACATTACCTTCAAGGCTGCAAATGCTGACCAGCAGGACGGCTAGGACCAACACCTTCATTTTGCCGCAGTCCAAGGGCTTTTGTACTTTCTGGAGCAAAAGTGTGACAGAAAAAGAGATTGTAAATGAAGCAAGGAAGGCGGAAGCCCATGTGAACTGGGGGCCCATCCACACAGCCCGATTTCCCAGTATATCAAGGCAGAAAATCCCACAATAACTTCAGTGTGGACTCAGATAACCTAGTTCAAGGCAGATATTGTGGGATTTTCTGCCTTGATATTCTGGGATATAGGGCTGTGCGGAAGGGCCCTTAGTTTTGGCATTCCTTTCTAAATTTGGAGTCTCCTTTGGGAGAGAAAAAAGTGGGATAAAAACATAAATTATTATTATCATTGGGTTACCGTGAGTTTTTCGGAATGTCTGGTCATGTTCCAGAATAAATAATAAAATAATAATAATAATAATATATTATTATTATATTTATCATTTATTTAATACACTTGTATACCGCTAATATCTCAGCCTAAATCGGCGACTCATTGCGGTTTACAGCAATTAAAAGCAATGTACAATTTAAAACAACAATAATAATCTTTATTTAAATTTAGGTAAGCTCCTACCCTAGAAACTTTAAAAAGAACCTCAAAACCTGGCTTTTCCGTTGCGCCTTTGGTGAATAGGTATTCAATCCCACATTATCCCTCATGTGCAATGTTCTGTCACTGGATTATACGTTTCCCCCCTCATGGGAAAGCTTGATTCCACATCTCCCACTATAATGAGCCCTCCTCCACAAATAATTTGTTTCTCTTTTATCTCACCCGAGTTTTTTTTACCAGTTTTAATTAGTTCTTTTAACCATTACATGTAGCCCGCCCATTGTCACTGTGTTTGTGTTTATTGTAATTTTATATTGTTGTATATTCATATGTTTTATGCAATTATGATGTTGTTTATTGTTTGCGTTTTTGGTTTGCGTTCGGTCGTTCTTTATTGTAATTGTTGTTTGGGCTTGGCCTTATGTAAGCCGCTCCGAGTCCCCATTGGGGAGATGGTGGCGGGGTATAAATAAATATAATAATAATAATAATAATAATAATAATCTTTATTTATACCCCACCACCATCTTCCCAATGGGGACTCGGAGCGGCTTACATGGGGCCAAGCCCGGACAACATATTACAGCAAAAATAAAACCAAAACATAAACAACAAGCAACAAGCAACATTTCCCTGAATTTTTTCCAGAAGCATTCTCTCATGATGTTTCACCCACATCTATGGCAGGCATCCTCAGAGGTTGTGAGGTTTGTTGGAAACTAGGCAAGTGGAGTTTATATAGCTGTGGAATAAGTCCTGGGTGGGAGAAAGAACTCTGTTGGAGGCAAGTGTGAATGTTGCATTTGGTCACCTTGATTAGCACTGAATAGCCTTGCAGCTGCAAAGCCAACCAGTGAGGGTATTTGCATAGGAGTCTGCTGGAAATGAGGTGAGTGGACTGTATATATGTCATTGGGATGATGTCCAGGGTGAGAGAAAGAACTCTTGTCTGTTTGAGGCAAGTGTGAATGCTTCAAGGGCCACCCTGATTAGCATTGAATACCCTTGCAGCTTCAAACCCTAGCTGCTTCCTGCCTGGAGGAATTTTTTGTTGGGAGGTGTTAGCTGGCAAATCTCTTGGGAAGACAGGCAGACAAGCATCAGCATACTGGACGAAGCAAAGACCACCAGCATTGAAGTGATGGTCCTCCGCCATCAACTCCGCTGGATTGGCCACATTGTCCAGATGCCCGACCACCGTCTCCCAAAGCAGTTGTTCTACTCTGAACTCAAGAACGGAAAACGGAATGGTGGTGGACAGGAAAAGAGATTGAAAGATGGGCTCAAAGCCAACCTTAAAAACTCTGGCATAGACACTGGGAAGCCCTGGCCCTTGAGTGCTCCAGCTGGAGGTCAGCTGTGACCAGCAGTGCTGCAGAATTTGAAGAGGCACGAATGGAGGGCGAAAGAGAGAAACGTGCCAAGAGGAAGGCACGTCAAGCCAACCCCGACCGGGACCGCCTTCCACCTGGAAACCAATGCCCTCACTGCGGGAGAAGATGCAGCTTAAGAATAGGGCTCCACAGTCACCTACGGACCCACCGCAAGGATACTACGCTTGGAGAACCATTATCCTCGGACTACGAGGGATCGCCTAAGCAAGTTAAATAGCTGGCCCTAATTGGGAAGTGTTAGTTGGCCCTCCCAACAAAGGATTCCCCCAGGCAGTAAGCAGCCAGACTTTGAAGCTATACAGAGAAGCCATTGAAATGTGGACAATTTCAACAGAAAGGAGGAATCAGGACGGTAAATGAAGAGTAACACTCAAAAACAGGGGAATTACAGACAGGAAACAATCAGGACCAGCTAATACCTCCCAACAAATAATACCTTGAGGCAGTGACCAGCCAGGCTTTGAAGGTGCAAAGCTATTCAATGCTCATCAAGCCGGCCAATGTCAACATTCACACTTGCCTCCAGCAGACAAGAGTTCTTTTTCCCACAGATATATAAACCCCACTTGCCTAGTTTCCAGCAGACCTCACAACCTCTGAGGATGCCTGCCATAGATGTGGGTGAAACGTCAGGAGAGAATGCTTCTGGAACATGGCCAGACAGCAACTCAGTGATTCCGGCCATGAAAGCCTTAGACAACACATTATTATTGTTGTTGTTGATATTATTATTATTAGTAGTAGTAGTATTTTCTATTATTATTATTATTATTATTATTATTATTATTATTATTTTCTAACAACTTTATAATGCAGTAATGGGAAATCTGTCCCAGTTGGATTTCTGTCTGTCTTGCCTGTGTGGACTTCAAACCGCAAGGGTTCTGTTGGAGGAACCAACCTATTCCCGTTTCCTTTTAAAAAATCGTGCCATTCTTACCTGAGGAATCGATTAACGTCCAGTGTCGAAATATGTTTTAGTTGGCCATCCCAGGCCCTTATATACACCGCAGAAAATCCAGCCGGCTTCACCTGCCCTGATTGGCGCTGATGCCTCCCTCCGCCCCAATCTGCCAACCCATCAGCTATCATTTGGGAACTATTGTGTAATTGTGAACATAAGACCATTTCCATGTAAACACGTTTGCAGGGGGCCAAAGGGCACACATTTCAGAGATAAGGTTTTGCGTGGGCAGGTAAAACAGTGTGTCCCGTGTCCCCATCCATCTCTCCTTGGACCACATGGCACAAGGCAGGAGCATGCTACAAAAGAAAATTTCACAGTTGTCTGGACTGCAATTCCCATTGATCTTTGGATGGATTACAATTTCCATTGTTCTTTGGATGGACTGCAATTCCCATTGAAGGGAATTATAATTCAGCAAAAGAAAATATTGCTTGAGGCTTCCAGAGGCTTATATTCTGGTTAACTGAGAGTATTTCCTTTTTCTGCCTAGCTAAGGCCATAAAGGGATGTGCAACAAGGCATGTAAAAAGTTCATTAAATCTGATTAAAATAATTATAAGAGCCAGTTGGGAAATATTATATAAGCTTTAAAGCCTTTAAGCCTCTCTCTCGCTATCATTCTGTTGCATTGGAATAATATGTCATTGTACGCGACACTCTGCTGGCTTTTAATTGATTGTTTATGACACTCTCTGTTTTTGTTCATTATAGGGCCTCCTAGACAGGATCTGATCCCAAGTTTTCTGCTTTAAACAGGGTTATATGAGTCCGCACTGCCAGATAATCTGGGATAAACAGAAAACTTGGGATCGGATCCTGGGATATTGGGCCTGTCTGGAAGGGCCCATAGACAATCAGATACAATTTCAGAATGAAACAAGAAGCAAAAGGATATATGTATAAGCAGGGACGGCTCGTCCATTACGCGAAGTAAGCGGTCGCAGAACACTTTTTTTGCCAGGGGCGCAGAGGCGCCTCTGTAAATGCCCCTTGACCGCCACTTGAGGAGCGCCCCCTCAGCTCACAACAGCCCTAGCACATGAGGTAGGTATTATACACGACTATACAGCTCACACCAGCCCTCAGAAGGTCGGCGTGGAGCACGGCTCGCTCTGCGTCGCTGCCGGGCGCAGATATCTCCCTACCTTCCTCCTTATCTCTCCTTTTCCCACACATAGGTGCACGAGTGCTGCCCGAGATAGATTATTGTGTGCTCCGTCGTCTTGATCCCAAGCACCCCACGAGCGGCTCCTTCCGACTCCCCACGGAGCTTCGCACCTAGCCTGCCCTGCGCATCTCCCCACCAATTCCCGGCGGCGGGGCAAAGGGCGGACCCGTACACAATATAAAGCCATCCCGTAGAGCCGCCCGCGGCCCTCTTCGGGTCAGAGGCGTGTCTGAAGACCCCAGCGTGTGCACCAAAAGTCATCTCTTCTCCTGACTTTCTCTTCAGCCATTGGGACCAAGAGAGAGAGAGAGAGAGCCCCTTCGGCTGGAGGTATCTCCCACCTCCGCTCCCTCCTTTGTTTTTGCGCCTACCTTCAGGAAAGGTGGGCATCTCCACCTCTCTCTCTCTCTCTCTCTCTTGGTCCCAATGGCTGAGGAGAAAGTCAGGAGAAGAGGTGACTTTTGGTGCACACGCCGGGGTCTTCAGGCATGCCTCCGGACCCAAAGCGGGCCAGGCAAGGGAGCAAGTGCGGAAAGTGTAGTTACTGGGATGTATAGTTCACCTACAATCAAAGAGCATTCTGAACTCCACCAATGATGGAATTGAACCAAATATGGCACACAGAACTCCCACGACAAACAGAAAATATATATCAATGATTGGTTGGGGGGGGGGGGGAATACTGTTTGCTTACCATTGAAAATTACCTAGGGCCACCTCTCTGTATAAGACATAGTAGATCACGAGCTGAACAGGAGCCAGAAATGTGATGCAGCAGTGAAAAGGGCCAATGCGATTCCAGGCTGCATCAATAGAAATATAGTGTCTAGAACAGGGGTTCTCAACCTTCCTAATGCCACGACCCCTTAATACAGTTCCTCATGTTGTGGTGACCCCCAACCATAAAATTATTTTCCTTCCTACTTCATAACTGTCATTTTGCTACTGTTATCAATCATAATGTAAATATCTGATATGCAGGATGTATTTTCATTCACTGGACCAAATTTGGCACAAATACCCAATATGCCCAAATTTGAATACTGGTGGGGTTGGGGGAGGGGGGGGGATTTTTGTCATTTGGGAGTTGTAGTTGCTGGGATTTGTAGTTCACCTGCAATCAAAGAGCATTCTGAACTCTACCAACAATGGAATTGAACCAAACTTGGCACACAGAACTCTCATGGCTAACAGAAAATATTGGAAGGGTTTGGTGGGCATTGACCTTGAGTTTGGGAGTTGTAGTTCACCTACATCCAGAGAGCACTGTGGACTCAAACGATGATGGACCTGGACCAAACTTGGCACGAATACTCAACATGCCCAAATGTGACCACTGGTGCAGTTTGGGGGAAATAGTCCTTGACATTTTGGGAGTTGTAGTTGCTGGGATTTGTAGTTCACCTACAATCAAAGACCATTGTGAATCCCACCAATGACAGAATTGGGCCAAACTTCCCACATCAAACCCCCCTGACCAACGGAAAATACTGTGTTTTCTGGTGGTCTTTGGTGACCCCTCTGACATTCCCTCATGACCCCTCCAGGGGTCCCGACCCCCAGGTTGAGAACCACTGGTCTAGAAAGCAAGGGAAGTCATAGTCCCACTCTATTCCCTCAGGAAGAGAAGGAGGGCCAGAACTGCTTAGGGCAGTGGTTCTCAACCTGGGGTCCCCAGATGTTTTTGGCCTCCAACTCCCAGAAATCCTAACAGCTGGTAAACTGGCTAGGATTTCTGGGAGTTGTAGGCCAAAAACATCTGAGGACCCCAGGTTGAGAACCACTGGTAGGGCTTTATAGGCTAAAGCCAGCACTTTGAATTGTGCCCGGTAGCAAATATAATGCTATGTCCAGGTTGATTCATAAACAAATAATCCAAGATTTGGAAGCTAAGCCCTATGAGGAGCATCTCAGGCAGTTGGGGATGTTTAGCTTGGGAGAAAAGAAGGTTAAGAGGGGACACGAGAGCTATGTTTATGTTTAACTATTTGCAAAGATGTCCCATTGAAGCTGGGTGGGGGTCAGGGGGAGCTTGCTTTCTGCTAGGACACAACGGAACCTTGGATTCCAATTGCAGGAAAAGAGATTCCACCTAAACATTAGGACAAACCTCCGGGTTTCGAGAAGAGCTGTTTTGGCACTGGAATCTGCTGACTCCGTTTCCTGCTTCCTCTCGCCCCAGCTCTGAGCAAATGTGACATGTTGGAGGTTAATGTCCAGCGATAAGAGGAGATCAGAGGCCTGTCCTTCACCCCACTGTGGATTGACTCTGCCTCATCTGTGAGCTGGAAGCACTCTTTGGAAGATGGACAGGGCATTGCCAAACCTTTCCAATGACAGCCACCTCCCATGCCTTTTGCTTCTCCGTTTCCAAAGTATGAGCAGCAGTCCTATTATACTAATTGAAAAGATTATATTATAATAAAATGCAACAGCAACAACAACAATAATATACAATTCTAGAGTTGGAAGGATTATATTATAATATGAAGGATTATATAATAATAATATGCAATAATAATAATAATAATAATAATAATAATATACAATCCTCGAGTTGGAAGGATTATATTATAATTTGAAGGATTATATAATAATAATAAATACTACTACTACTAATCATAATATACAATCCTAGGCTTGGAAGGATTATATTATAATTTGAAGGATTATATAATAATAATAAATACTACTACTACTAATCATAATATACAATCCTAGGCTTGGAAGGATTATATTATAATTTGAAGGATTATATAATAATAATAAATACTACTACTACTAATCATAATATACAATCCTAGGCTTGGAAGGATTATATTATAATTTGAAGGATTATATAATAATAATAAATACTACTACTACTAATCATAATATACAATCCTAGGCTTGGAAGGATTATATTATAATTTGAAGGATTATATAATAATAATAAATACTACTACTACTAATCATAATATACAATCCTAGGCTTGGAAGGATTATATTATAATTTGAAGGATTATATAATAATAATAAATGCAATAATACTAATACCACCACTACTACTAATAGTAATATACAATCCTAGAGTTGGAAGGATTATATTATAATTTGAAGGATTATATAATAATAATAATAAATACTACTACTACTACTAATAATAATAATAATATACAATTCTAGGGTTGGAAGGATTAAATTATAATTTGAAGGACTACATTATAATAATATGCAACAATTATAATAATAATATACAATTTTTGAGTTGGAAGGATTATATTATAATAACATGCAATAATAATAATAATAATAATAATAATAATAATAATAATAATATACAATCCTAGAGTTGGAAGGATTATATTATAATTTGAAGGATTATATAATAATAATAATAAATACTACTACTTTGTTCATTCGTTCAGTCGTCTCCGACTCTTCATGACCTCATGGACCAGCCCACGCCAGAGCTCCCTGTCGGCCGTCACCACCCCCACTACTACTACTACTACTACTACTACTAATAATAATAATAATATACTATCCTACTAATAATAATAATATACTATCCTAGAGTATATTATAACCTGAAGGATTATAGTATAATAATATGCAATAATATGCTATCGGCCCCAATTCAAAGTGCTGGCTTTGGCCTATAAAGCCCTGAACGGTTCTGGCCCAACTTACCTGTCCGAACGTATCTCCCCTTACAAACCTCTGAGGACTTTAAGATCATCTGGGGAGGCCCTGCTCTCCGTCCCGCCTTCATCACAAGTACGTTTGGTGGGGACGAGAGACAGGGCCTTCTCAGTGGTGGCCCCTCGGCTATGGAACACCCTCCCTAGGGAGATCAGATCTGCTCTCTGCCTCTTAACATTTCGGAGGCAAGTTAAAACATGGCTGTTCGAGCAAGCTGAGAAAGTCA